TGTACAGGTTGCACATGTGCACCTCTTTTTTACAAGTGCCAAGTCTGGATGCTGGCATGAGCACTTCACTGTTCATTGGTCAGCTGGGCTAACCAGCAAATAAACGTGTTGGAACTGGCAGTCTTGGCTGCTGGCACACCAGCACTTACAGTAAGTGGTTGCTTGTTGATGTGGTGGTTATGATTATGTGCTGTGTCTGGTTGAGATCATGCTTTCCTGTCAGTTGCTTTCCTGTCCATGCATGTTTGAACCATTGCTGTATGAGTGTCAACAAACAAGGGGCTCAATGCTGCTGTCCTAGGTCTTGTGCCTTGCTCAAACTATGCAGAAGTACAGGTGTAGGCTGTAATAAGTTGTTTAACCTGACTGCCCTGATTGAATGTGTTTCCCAGATAGAATGCCGATCCTGCATGCATGTGCCAGCGCCAAACATGGCCACCACCACCAAAAAGCGCCTCACACCCCTAGCTAGTAAGTCTGTGCTATTAGAAGCTTTGGGTGGTGACACCTGCTACGCTATGGTGGGACCACAGTATTGCATGTTTGTGGTTTGGCGTGTGTGACTATTCATGAGTACGCCAGGATGGGATCCCATCCTGGATCCCATCCATCCGGTAGGTACTAACTAGCTATAGCACCCCTAGTCCATGCTTTGAATGCAGGCTATAGCCACCATGTTACTTCCATGACCACATAAGCATGAGGCGTATTTTGCTGAATGTTCCATCTTAAGTGTTGGAATCAAGTGTCTTTCTGGTTGGGCTTGTTACCCATATGCATACCTGTATCCTGGTAGCCCATCACATCAGGAACAATAGTGACCTGTGCCTGGCTCAAGTTATTAAATTGGTTCACGTGTTTCAACTTCCACAAACAACGAAATGATGAGCATGCATATGTGCATTATATAATTATACATAGCACATGATCCAAACAGTCATGATAAGCCTGATGAGTGGGGGAAGAGCTATGTGTGTACACTTAGCATGCGTGTGAATAGGATGTCCACATGAACAATAACTGTAATCTTATTGCACAAGGCCACTTCACGAATGGGAGCCAGGTACGACATGCCGCGGATGCACCATAGTAGCCCCGTATGCTTCCTCGACAGCCTACTGAATATCAGTAAACCTCGCTCGCCTTTTGAAGGAGATGTGTGTATTTACCGAGCGGTCTCCACCACACATTGATAATAAGATTTGAGTGCAAGACGTCCCCCTCCGCACTCTTCCTGGCTGACGAGGGTGGGATTTGAACCCACGCCCTTACGGACTAGAAATTTCTCATCCTGGTCTGAACCAGGTAGTCCTGAATCTAGCGCCTTAGACCGCTCGGCCACCTCGTCATGCTGTGCACGTGCACCCAGCCGATAACGTTTGTGTACACCAAAACGCAACAGACCTTCATGCATCCCTGCCGTGCAATTTGCTCGACTTTTTTCGAGTGTTAAAAAATGATGTTCGATATGAACATCAAGCATGTACATACATACAAGTTCTTGAACGGAAGGTATGTTGGTAACGGTACGTCGCATGAGCATATTATTTCGCCGACACGGGGAATCGAACCCCGGCCTCCCGCGATCCATGATTGGATGATGTCATGACAGGCGGGGATACTGACCACTATACGATGTCGACGGAGGCACTCATTGCAGAGACCGGATAGCCGCATCCTGCTCCGCCACTCTTTCGCTACCGGGACTCGAACCCGGGTCTCGAGAGTGAGAATCTCGTATCCTAACCGCCTAGACTATAGCGAAGAATGTCGCAGCACAAGTTATCATACACCATAATAATAACGTCACACACAACACACCGACATACATGCGGGTGACAGGCGCATGCATGCATCACGTTCTCCGCAACCCTCCCCAATGAGCAATATATGGTGAGCAATTTTATATTCGTAACTGCTCCTATCCGCCTGTACATTTCCGTCGCATTTCAGCAATGCCTTTGCTCACTTTGCAGGTTTCGTGGTCCCTCACCCTTGGGAAATTCCCTACCAACTCATAGGGGGTCTAACAGCGGCTAACTTCTTAGGCGGGGCTGTCAGCCGGGCTCATTATCAGCTGCTGACGATAGTTGTCAACGTGGCATAACAGCCAGTTAGACACTGGGTTAGAGGCTGCTTGGTCCTGTTAGGCCCTGTGACTGACATGTACCTGGAGCCCACACTGTTAACAGTTGTCTGATTCTAGGGACTGTTAGCAGCTGTAAGGACCTGTAACAGAGCGCTTTCTGCCACAACAGGATATTGTTGACAGGATGTTACATTCTGGTTGGGTCACCCAGATGCTGAGAAAGAATTTTTGACGGCTGTTAGGTTTTTTTAAGTTAACAGTTGTCTGATTCTAGGGACTGTTAGCAGCTGTAAGGACCTGTAACAGAGCGCTTTCTGCCACGACAGGATATTGTTGACAGGATGTTTCATTCTGGTTGGGTCACCCAGATGCTGAGAAAGAATTTTTGACGGCTGTTAGGGTTTAGGGAAGGTAATTGTTAGCAATTGTTCAATTCACTTAAGTTGTTAAGCGGTGCCAAGGGCTGTAGTTGCTAACAGGCGTTGAAAGCTGTTACGAGCAGGGACATGCTGAAAGGAAGTTCCATCATGTTACTGGCTGTTGCCATTACATAATTTGCTGAACTGCTGTTTAAGGATTTTACTTGCTGTTTTGAGGTTCAGACGCTGTAAATGTTATGAGCTTTTACATGATCCCTGTCCATTGTTAAATCACACCTTTCCTTTTTTTGGATATCTCT